TATTCCAATGCGCATTCACGGGGTATGTGATGGGCAAAGCTATGGCAAATACGACCGCTCTGAGAGTAGCCCAAGCGTTTGAAGAATGCGTGTACCGGAGGTTCGGTGTACCTTCTCTCATCAGACATGACAGGGACCCTCGATTCATGAGCGACGTGTTCCAGTCGTTCACCGAAATGATGCAATCGCGGTCTAGGGCAACGCTGGGTTATCGGCCAGGCCAATGGCCAGCAAGAGCGCTCGGTAAAAACCGTCATGCAATCGGTGCGTGTGTACGCGGAAGATCCACTGCAACAAGACTGGGATGCGATTGCCAAGAAGTTGATCTTTGCGATCAACAACTCGATGGACACAACGAGGAAAGAGACACCCTTTTTCCTCGTCCATGGGTGGGACGCTCAGTCCACACTTAAGGCGATGTCCTCGTCGCTCAAACGATGACTCGGTCGGCAGTCAGATGCGCTGGCATGGCGCCGAGAAGTGAACCGCCAGCAAGAAATAGCACTGAAAATGGCCAAGGAATATCAGGCCACCGAGAAAGCTCGGAGAGCCAAGAAACACAATGAGAGCCTCCATGGCCGAGAAAGAGGTACAGCCCCAGGAACAGACCGAACCGTTACGCCAAGTGACGAACGGTCTGCGACAGGGGCAGTGACCGAGGACTCGGACAGCAATGCTACAGGCCGAAGTCTCTGTTCGAGGTCGGGAGCCGAGTGTGGCTCTATATGGAGCGAGTGAAGCCATGATTGACGAAAAAACTTGCATGCCGATGGCATGGACCGTTCAGGGTCAAGAGGAATGTAGAAGAGTTTGCCTACGAGCTCGAACTTCCCGATCGAAGCGGGTACAAATTTTACCCGGTAGTGCATGTGTCACGTCTAAAGATGGTAGACGAATTTGGAGATCGACCGAGTGCTTGTTTGACACGAGACGTGAACGAGGCTACGCGACTAGATTTCGACGAGGAATTACTCCCAGAGGATAGTTGGGAACCAGATCATGTCGCGGGTGAATTCGAAGTTTTAGCGATACTAGATGATAGGACCCCTCTGTCCACTAGCACTGAACGAGCCGTCAGAGTTCAAGGTGAAGTGGGTCGGCTATGATGACCCGACATGGGAACCCGCATCTAATATCTCGTGTGGTGGTCTACTATACGACTATCTCCGAGAAAACGTCGTGACCGAAGGTTGCAAATGGTCCAAGTCGCTGATGAGGACTACAAGCGACCGACTCTGTGGGGTAAGTGCAGCCCATAACAGCAGACGAAAGAAACTACTGCACCAGAATGCATTTTACATGTT